TCTAATGTAACATCCCCAAATGATTTATGGATTGCAGTTGGTTTGATATTTCTCTTAGTCTCTCTTAATCTAGAATGGTTCCCCTTCTTTTTGTTTGTCCTGTCAGTGAGGTTTGGAAGAATACAAGCCTTCCACATTTTAGATTAACATTTTGACAAGGATTCTTAATATCAAGGTGAAGTTGTGTACATTTTAGTACACCAGTGATTAAGTGAAAAAGTGAGTTACAGCTCAAATCTAAAAATACCTTAAATACTTTATTTTAGTGTAAAACGTAAATGTACATTGCCATTAGTGTGAACATGTCAGGTTCTCCCCTTTCTTTTTTTTTTTTTTTTTTTTTTTTTTGAGACGGAGTCTCACTCTGTCGCCCAGGCTGGAGTGCAGTGGCCGGATCTCAGCTCACTGCAAGCTCCGCCTCCCGGGTTTACGCCATTCTCCTGCCTCAGACTCCCGAGTAGCTGGGACTACAGGCGCCCGCCACCTCGCCCGGCTAGTTTTTTGTATTTTTTAGTAGAGACGGGGTTTCACCGTGTTAGCCACAATGGTCTCGATCTCCTGACCTCGTGATCCGCCCGTCTCGGCCTCCCAAAGTGCTGGGATTACAGGCTTGAGCCACCGCGCCTGGCCAGTTCTCCCCTTTCTTGTGTAGAAAAGTTTGATCACTTGCTTAGGGGTATTGAATGCCAGATTCTAAAGGAATGACTTTCTCTTTGTATTAAGTAATTTGTAGGATGAAACTTTGAAACCGTATGGGATCTTGTTCATCAGTAACCTTTTACCTGATTGTTTCAGGGTCCTTGAAATAATTGCTATATTGGGAGAATGTTTTAAAAAATAATTTCATAAGTTATGTACTATTTGAAAAGACATTTGACATTGTCTCCTTAGGTTTCTTTACTTGGGTAAATATGCCCCAGATGTCTGTTACATTGTAGTTTGTACTTAACTCTTTCAGAGAGGAATTTACTTATGAATGTGTTGTGGTGGTAAGTGTGGAGATGGATTTTGGTTTAGAAGTTACTTTTGATTTTACAGTGATACTCGATTGCATTTTAGCACTCAGCAAGATGGTAGAGAAATTAATGGAATCCATTAAGAGGGAAGACTTTCTGAATAGATATCCACCTGACAATACTAGATTTCTTTCTTTCTTTCATTCTTTCATTCATTCGTTCTTTTGTTCTTCCTCTTCCTCTTCCTCTTCCTCGTTCTCTTTCTCATTCTCCTTCTCTTTCTCTTTCTCTTTCTCTTTCTCTTTCTCTTTCTCTTTCTCTTTCTCCTTTTTTTTGACGGAGTCTTGCCCTGTCGCCCAGACTGGAGTGTAGTGGTACTATCTCAGCTCACTGCAACCTCCGCCTCCCAGGTTCGAGTGATTCTCCTACCTCGTCCTCCCTAGTAGCTGGGACTACAAGTGTGCACTACCATGACCAGCTAATTTTTGTAGTTTTAGTAGAGTCGGGGTTTTGCCATGTTGGCTAGGCTCCTCTTGAACTCCTTACCTCAGGTGATCCACCTGCCTTGGCCTCTCAGAGTGCTGGGATTACAGGCATGAGCCATTGCGCTTAGCCTAAATGTATTTCTGAATGTTAAGAATTTTGTTTAGAATTTTTTTTTGACGTTTTGCTAAAGTTTTTGGTGGAGTTTCCTGTTTTATCCTATGCATTTCTGAAATTGCTTATACTATAGTTGTGCTGATTAATCATGGGTAGAATCTCAAAATGTTACATTCAAGCCTGTAAATACTTGTATTTCTTTTCCTGGGAAAAGAGAATATAGCATGTCAATAATATCAGTAATTAATGTGAAGCTCTTTGCTCTATCATTGATTTTTGACTGGCTTACACCAGAACATGGGAAATGTACTGCAGAAGCCTCTTATTCAAATTGATAAGACTGATAGGTAAGTAAAAAAAAAAATGTGTTAAAGCATGAAATCTTGAAAAGCAACTTGAATGTTTAATTTAAAACATAAATTTATGTGATTTGCATTTTTCAGTGTAGGTCTATGACTTGTTCTTTGCATGTCATCAACTGATTTGAGAACCATACACCGTTTCTGCATAAGCCACACAAATAATACATTGTCTGTGATAGTTTAGCATAGTAGAAATATGGCCTCTAAGACCAGGCCTCCTGGGCTGCAACCCTCATTCTCTCTTCTTACTAGCATATGAACCAAGGCAAGTTACCTAACAGTTCCGTGCCTCAGTTTCCCCATTTGTAAAATGCAGATAATACCAGTGAGTCAGTAATTGTCAAACACATACTAGTTTGAAATGATTAACTCATTTATACCAGTGAGTCAGTAATTGTCAAACATATACTAGTTTAAAATGATTAACTCATTTAATCCTGTTGGTAACTGGCATGTAAGTGCCTAAGTAATTGTTAATTAATGTCCAGTTTTGGTTTCATTAAGTGAAATGAGAGTAAAGACATTTGTGAAGCAATCCGAAGATACTCTTTCTAGATTTCAAAAAATATTTTAATTAAAACATTTTTAAATCTGACAAATATAAATTGTGTATGTTTATGGTGTACAGCTTGGTGTTTTGATATATGTGTACATTGTAATGCCTAAATCAAGCTAATTAACACCTCACACGCCTATCATTTTTGGGCAGTGGAAACATTTAAAATCTACTCTTAGCAATTTTCAAGTATACAATAAATTGTTACTAACTATAATCACCATACAATGGATTTATTCCTCCTAATGAAATTTTATATCCTTTGATGAACATATCCCCAACCCCCCATTCTACTCTCTGCTTCTGTGAGTTGGACTGTTTTACATTCTGCATGTAAATGAGATCATGTGGTATTTGTCATTCTGTGTCTGGCTTATTTCACTTAACATGATATCCTCCAGGTTCATCCTTGTTTTTACAAATGAAAGAATTTCCTTCCCTTTTAAGGCTTAATAGTATTCCGTTGTGTTTATATGTCACATTTTATCCATGCATCCATTAATGGGCACTTAGGTTGATTTCATGTCTTGGCTATTGTGAATAATGCTGCAGTGAACATGGGAGTGTAGATACCTCTTCAGCATCCTGATTCCATTCCTTTGGATATATACCCAGAAGTGGAATTGCTGGCTCAATTCCACTGGTAGTTCTATTTTTAATTTTAATACACTGTTTTCCGTATTGGGTGTACTGATTCCAATCAATAGTGTACAAGGGTTCCCTTTTTCCCCACATCCTTGCCAACACTTGTTATTTCTTGTCTTTTTGGATCATGGCCGTCTAACAGGAGTGAGGTGATAACTATTCCACTGCAGTTTTAATTTGCATTTATCTGGTGATTATTAATGTTGAATACTTTTTCATGTACCTGTTGGCTATTTGTGTGTTGTCTTTTGGGAAATGTCTATTCAGATCATTTGACCATTTTTAAAATTGGGTTATCTGTTTTCTTGCTGTTGAGTTGAGCTCCTAGTATATTTTAGATGTTAAGTATGGTCATCAGAAGTATGGTTTGCACATATTCTCTTTCATTCTGCAGGTTGTGTCTTTACTCTGTTGACTGTTTCCTTTTCTTTGTATAATTTTTCCAGATTTTTATGATTTGTATTCATCCCAGTCTTTAAGTTGTCTTGGCCATGCTTGGCAGTATGTCTTTGATCTGTTCAGAGCAGTCAACATAGATTTTATAGAAATAATGTGTCCTTTTTGCACTTACTGGTTTGGGTTATAACTAATTAAATTATCTACAGTAATGGAACAGGCATAATTATAAGGCAGACTTGGAAACACAAACCACTGGTCCTTGTTAGACATTCAGTTCAACAGGTGGGAGTGGAGATGAGCTTGTATATTGAAAAATAGCTTTGCTGCTTGAGATGGCATCTGGCAAGCTGTGGTTATGTCAGCCTGTTTTATAGGGGCCTCACTACCATAGATTAGTACAGTCAGTTGAGTAGAGTGTTGCCAAGAAAACTTAATGCTGCTTTCTTTGAAGATGAGTATGATGGAGATGCACCATCTTAGGGTGCCTAATGTAGGTTGGTTGCTGTGGATCTGTTTTCTGCCAGCTTACTGTGTGTGTGTGTGTGTGTGTGTGTATGTGTGTGTGTGTGTGATGGTGTAGGTAGCATATGTTTGTGAGAGGTGGCAAGTTTTATGGCTAAGAAGATAGACTGACCTAGGACTATCAGGATCCTCTGAGAACAATTACCTATGGCTCAGCATCAGTCCCCAGCACTGAGGAGGGGGACCATGCACTCTGAGTTGAATTCTGTCAGTCGGATCCTGATCCCAGTGCTTTTTAATACTTCCACCAGAGTCTTAGATGGTAGCATACAGTGTATGCTCATTAAGATTGTGAAATGGCCTCAAATCGAATAGGTGGCTCAATAGAAAACTTGATTAAATTTCAGAATACCTGATGGTTTAGGAAAGTTGGCGAATATACATATGGCATTTAGTTAGATCATTTTAGTGCAGCCACCTTCATTTTAGAATCTTTTGGATAACTTGTTCCAGCTTGTACAACAGCACTTGCTGCTTCACCTTGCATTTTTGTTATGGAAATGGATTTTTTTTTTTTTTTTTAAATTTCGTGAACCAACTTCTGCTATCTTCAGACTTCTCTTCTGCAGCTTCCTCACTTCTCTCAGCCTTTATACAACTGAAGAGAATTAGGCTCTTGCTCTGGATTAGGATTTGGTTTAAGGGAATATTGTGGCTGGTTTGATCTTCTGTCTTGATCACTAAAACTTTCTCCATATTCGTACGTTCACTGGAGTAGCATTTTAACTTTCCCTTCAGAACTTTTTCTTTGCATTCATAACCTGGCTAACTGGCATAAGAGGCCTAGCTTTAGGCCTATCTTGGCTTTCAACATGCCTTTTTCACTAAGCTTAATCATTTCTAGTTTTTGATTTAAAGTAAGAGATATGTGACTCTTTTCAGTTGAACACTTAGAGGACATTGTAGCATTATTGACCTAATTTTAATATGGTCCCAAGAAAATGGTAGAGAGATGGAGGAATGGCCAGTTGGCAGAGTGATCAGAACACGCAACATCTATTGATGAAGTTTGCTGCCTTGGGCTTATCCATTGCACTCTGGATGTGCTGACCCCTGCAGTTTTCCACGAACGTGAGAAACTTGACTGCATAATTTGTGGTAGTGGGAGGCTGCATTTGCATTCTGCTCTGATGCTGTGTGTGTTTTAAAATTTTTTTGTTTGTTTATTTTTTGAAACGGAGCTTCATTCTTTTTGCCCAGGCTGGAGTACAGTGGCACGACCTCAGCCCACTGCAACCACTGCCTCCCAGATTCAAGTGATTCTCCTGCCTCAGCCTCCCGAGTAGCTGGGATTTCAGGCATGCACCACCACGCCTGGCTAATTTTATATTTTTAGTAAAGATGGGGTTTCACCACGTTGGTCAGGCTGGTCTCAAACTTCTGACCTCAGGTGATCCGCCCACCCCGGCTTCCTGAAGTGCTGGTATTATAGGCATGAGCCACTGCACCTGGCCGCTGTGTTTTTTTAACTTACAAAAAAAAAAAGTTTGTTGGCTTGTATGGGCATAGTTTATGGTGTCCCAAAACAATGACAATAGTAACACTAAAGACACTGATCATAGATCACCATTGTAGATATAATAATAATGAAAATCTTTGAAATATTGCGAACCTTATCAAAATGTGAGAGAAGAAGGCTTCAGATGATCAGACCTTTCCAAGCTAAAGGAGGAAGTTCGAACCCATCGCAAAGAAGCTAAAAACCTTGAAAAAAGATTAGATGAGTGGCTAACTAAAATAACCAGCGTAGAGAAGTCCTTAAATGACCTGATGGAGCTGAAAACCATGGCACGGGAACTACGTGACACATGCACAAGCTTCAGTAGCCGATATGATCGAGTGGAAGAAAGGGTATCAGTGACTGAAGATCGAATGAAATGAAGCGAGAAGAGAAGTTCAGAGAAAAAAGGAGTAAAAGGAAACGAACAAAACGTCCAAGAAATGTGTGACTATGTGAAAAGAACAAATCTACGTCTGATTGGTGTACCTGAAAGTGACGGGGAGAATGGAACCAAGTTGGAAAACACTCTGCAGGATATTAATCCAGGAGAATTTCCCCAACCTAGCAAAGCAGGCCAACATTCAAATTCAGGAAATACAGAGAACGCCACAAAGATACTCCTCGAGAAGAGCAACTCCAAGCGAGACACATAATAGTCAGATGCACTAAAGTTGAAATGAAGGAAAAAATGTTAAGGCAGCAGCCAGAGAGAAAGGTCGGGTTACCCACAAAGGGAAGTCCCTCAGACTAACAATGGATCTCTCAGCAGAAACTCTATGAGCCAGAAGAGAGTGGGGGCCAGTATTCAACATTCTTAAAGAAAAGAATTTTCAACCCAGAATTTCATAGCCAGCCAAACTAAGCTTCATAAGTGAAGGAGAAATAGAACCCTTTATAGACAAGCAAATGCTGAGAGATTTTGTCACCACCAGGCCTGCCCTACAAGAGCTCCTGAAGGAAGCACTAAACATAGAAAGGAACAACCAGTACCAACCACTGCAAAAACAGGCCAAATTGTAAAGACTGTCGATGGTAGGAAGAAACTGCATCAACTAATGAGCAAAATAACCAGCTAACATCATTATGACAGGATTCACACATAACAATATTAACCTTAAATGTAAATGGGCTGAATGCTCCAATGAAGAGACACAGACTGGCAAAGTGGATAAAGAGTCAAGACCCATCAGTGTCTGTATTCAGGAGACCCATCTCATTTGCAGAGACACACATAGGCTCAAAATAAAGGGATGGAGGAAGATCTACCAAGCAAATGGAAAATAAAAAAAGGCAGGGGTTGCAATCCTAGTCTCTGATAAAACAGACTTGCAGCCAACAAAGATCAAAAGAGACAAAGAAGGCCATTACATAATGGTAAAGGGATCAATTCAACAAGAAGAGCTAACTATCCTAAATATATATGCACCCAATATAGGAGCACCCAGATTCATAAAGCAAGTCCTTAGAGACCTACAAAGAGACTTAGACTCCCACACAATAATAATGGGAGACTTTAACACTCCACTGTCAACGTTAGACAGATCAACGAGACAGAAAGTTAAAAAGAATATCCAGGAATTGAACTCACTTCTGCACCAAGTGAACCTAATAGACATATACAGAACTGTCCACACCAAATCAACAGAATATACATTCTTCTCAGCATCACATTGCACTTACTCCAAAATTGACCACATAGTTGGAAGTAAAGCACTCCTCAGCAAATGTAAAAGAACAGAAATTACAACAAACTGTCTCAGACCACAGTGCAATCAAACTAGAACTCAGGATTGAGAAACTCAATCAAAACCACTCAACTACATGGAAACTGAACAATCTACTCCTGAATGATTACTGGGTATATAACAAAATAAAGGCAGAAATAAAGATGTTATTTGAAACCAATGAGAACAGAGACGCAACATACCAGAATCTCTGGGACACATTTAAAGCAGTGTGTAGAGGGAAATTTATAGCACTGAATGCCTACAGGAGAAAGCAGGAAAGATCTAAAATTGACACCCTAACATCACAATTAAAAGAACTAGAGAAGCAAGAGCAAACACTTTCAAAAGCTAGCAGAAGGCAAGAAATAACTAAGATCAGAACAGAACGGAAGGAGATAGAGACACAAAAAACCGTTCAAAAAATCAATGAATCCAGGAGCTGGTTTTTTGAAAAGAGAGACTGCTAGCAAGACTAATAAAGAAGAAAAGAGAGAAGAATCAAATAGATACAAAATGTGAAACAGATATGAAGTAAGCACATGCTGTTGGAACAAAGACTTGCTCAATGCAGGGTTTCCATAAACCCTCAACTTGTAAAAAGTACAATACCTCCAAAGTGTGGTTAACTATAGTGCTATAAAACCAGGTATGCCAGCCGGGTGCGGTGGCTCACACCTGTAATCCCAGCACTTTGGGAGGCCGAGGTGGGCAGATCACGAGGTCTGAGATCAAGATCATCCTGGCTAACACGGTGAAACCCTGTTTCTACTAAAAATAAAAAAAGTTAGCTGGGCATGGTGGCGCGTGCCTGTAATCCCAGCTACTCAGGAGGCTAAGGCAGGAGTATGGCTTGAACCCTGGAGGCAGAGGTTGCAGTGAGCCAAGATCACACCACGGTACACCAGCCTGGTGACAGAGCAAGGCTCTGTCTCAAAAAAAAGAAAAAAAAAAAAAAAAAAAGAAGGTATGCCATGTATAATTACAGTGGTCTCCCTTTATCCATGTTTTCACATTTTGCAGTTTCTAGTACCTGTAGTCAACCATGTTGTGAAAGTATTAAATGGAAAACTCCTGAAATAAACGTAAGTTTTAAGTTGCACTCTATTCTGAATAGCATCATGACATCTCATGCTATTCTGCTGTATCCTGCCCTGGTGGTGAATCATCCCCTTCTCCAGCATAACCACACTATGTATGCACTACCCGCCTGTTAGTAGCTGTCTTGGTTATCAGGTAGACTGTCATGGTATCTGTCATGGTATCTCAGTGCTTGTGTTTAAGTAATCCTATTTTACTTAATAATGGCCCCAAAGCACAAACATAGTGATGCTGACATAGTGTTAAAATTGTTCTGTTAACTATTGTTGTTAATCTTCTACTGTGTCGGATTTATAAATTAGGAAATCTGTTTGTGTAGGAAGAACACAGTGTATATAGAGTTCAGTACTATCCATGATTTCAGGCTTCTGCTGGGAGTCTTGAAATGTATCCCCCAAGGATAATGGGGGACTACTGTATATCACTTTGTGATCATAGATTTATAGAATGTTAGCAGTCACTGGTCTAAGTAGCTCACTTTATTTTAATGGGTGACAAAACCCAGTTGCGAGGTCCCACGTTCAAACTAAGCCTTTCTTCCCAGGTCATTGCTCTTAACACTACCCCTGTAGCAACTGTTTTTACCCTGAAGACAGAATTATAAAGGAGTTTACAACAGTGGGAGGAATATGTGTTGGACATTAGAAATTTATGATTACAAGGGCAATGAAATATGATACACAAGAAGCAATAGAATCTCTGGTTATTGTAGAACAGGAATACTTTTAAGTCTTTTTGGGGCAGAGATAGAAAAGATGTACTCTTGAGTTCCCTTCTGTTTTTTTGCTGGGGGTTATAACCAGAGAATTTTCTTTTGCAAACTCTGGTCAGTCTTGTATTTTGTGATGAATAATTAAAATAGGAAATGGATATTTTGAACTTTGAACTTTACTTGTCAGTGAGCATTGGACTGGGAATAAGGAAAGCAGTTTATTTTCTGCCGTCACCTTTCAACCATTCCTTATCTAGTTTCATTGTAGGTGTGGTATCCTGACTCTTTCAAGAACTCCCTGAGAATGGCCTAGTAGATTGATGTAAGGTATAAAATGTTTGGAATTTGAACAAATGAAAGATGTTGAAGTACAAATGACATTTAAAAAATATGTCAGTGTGACATTATGTATACATTAAAATTTTTCTTGTGCATATTGCTAGATATTGCTTTCTCCTCCTCCATATTTTGTAGATGTTCTGTTGGTATTTTTATCTTTCCTGAATGACATGAACAGAAATGTTGCATCGTGTAGAAGTCTTTTTTATTTTTGTTTTTTTTTTGATATGAAGTCTCACTCTGTTGCCCAGGCTGGAGTGCAGTGGTACAATCTTGGCTCACTGCAAGCTCTGCCTCCTGGGTTCATGCCATTCTCCTGCCTCAGCCTGGCAAGTAGCTGGGACTACAGGTGCCTGCCACCACGCCCGGCTAATTTTTTGTATTTTTAGTAGAGATGGGGTTTCACCATGTTAGCCAGGATGGTCTCGATCTCCTGACCTCATGATCGTCCCGCCTCAGCCTCCCAAAATGCTGGGATTACAGGTGTGAGCCACCGTGCCTGGCCTGTGTAGATGTCTTTGCTTGGATATCCTCCAGCTTCTATAAGTGCCTTGTGCTTGTCTTTGTCAGCCATACAGCTTCTTTTCTAGCCTGTTTAACCTTGTAGTTTGAACCCTTGTAACTCTATCATCTCCCAGGTTTATGACACATTTTCTGACAAAGATCTAATAATAATACTTCAGGTTACTTTTCATCTTTCACTAAAATTATGCCTTTGATTTAATTTACCATAAATACAGATAAAAGAATG